TCTGTCTTGATTTTCGCGAGTGATTCGCGAGAAGTAACGTCCTCCTTTCGAGGTCATAGGTCATTCCGGTTCGCGGACAGACAGAGAGCAACGTGCCACTCGATCATAAATGGAATAAAATCAATATGGTCACTAGTGCGATATCAATAATAATGGTAAATAATAAGATTTAGTATTAGTAATAATTATAAAAAATATTGACAAAAGTCGTATATTTAGATAGAAGTAACTATAATCTAGAAGGTAACTTTGAAACTACCTCTCATTACTTACCTGCGTAAGGTATCTTAAGTTTATTGAATTATCTCCTGTACTTTTACTATATTTAACTAAATCCAACAAATTACCCACTCTGTCTAATGTAATTTTGTCGTTTGTTACTGTCGCTGTTTCTGTTGGTGTGGCCACCACCGTCGCCATCATTATTATTATCATTATCATTATCACTATCATCAGCATCACCATCATAACTTATGACTAACATTGTTTTAGGCACCTAATAAGTGCAACATTGACCTCTCCTTTCACAAGAAGCAGACAGTTATATATCACTAACTGCCTCGGTATGTCTATCACTCCGTGCGGCGGCATGCACGTCAAAGCCTTAAGAAATTTATGTAAAAACGGAGAAGGAAAAGTAAGAAGCAAAGACGAAAAAGAGAAGTAGTAGAAATAATGATGGAGAAGAGGAGAAAAAGAAGAATACAAGAAGTATGCGAATAAAGCGAAGAAGATGAAGAAACAGAGGAAAGAGGAGATGAGAAGAAGAAGAGAAGAAAGGGAGCAAGAGAAGGAGAAGAATGCGAAGAATGAGGAGGAGAAGAAGAAACAGAAGGAGGAGGGGAAATAGAAAGAGAAAAAGAAAGAAGAGGAAGGTGAAGACGAAGGAGAAATATTATCCTGCAAGAAAGAGAGGGATGGGGGGAGGGAGAGAGAGATGAAACAAGAGGAAGAAAAGGAGGTGGCAACACTGCCGTAAAGGTGCAATGAATGCTGCTTCGCCTGCTCATGATTAAAAGGAAAAGAGAGAGAGAGAGAGAAAGAATATATATATATATATATCTAATAAAAAAAAAAATCTGTCTGAGGCACTCCCATGCTATTATTCCCAGTTATTTGATATTTTCATTCTTCCTCTGTTTAATCTATTTTTACGCCGGCACATATTTCTTACATATTTCTGTCCTCTTGCTTACCGACCATTTGTTCCGTGAAATTATGGTTTATGCCGTGGAGTTTTGTTGATTCAATTTCCCTCTTGTTGCACTTACTGCTTTCTGTGATCTATTTCTAGAACAGTTATTGAGATTGTTCAGGTCTCTGTATCAGCTGGTGTATGTAGCATAAGGTAGTGATTAATTCATGATTAACAACAATGCATTAAGCTAAATTATTTTTCAGCCATAACTAACTTGAAAAAACAGATGATAAGAGTTAAAGAAGATTTTTGAATAAGTAAATGAACATAACGATGAAGTGCCAACTGACCGGGAAAGGCGCCTAACCCACAACGGATATCACTTCAGGAAAGAAAAAACTCATGCATTACTAATTTTGTCTGCTAAAACCATAGATATATATCCGCAATGCAGCGACATGTCTCAATTTCTTCCTCTAACCCCCCCCCCCCCCCTCTCTCTCTGTCTTTCGTTCTCTCTCATTCCGTTTGTCTGTTTCGGTCTAGCTCCATCTCTCTCCCTCTGTGTCTCTTCCCCTACTTTACTCTCCCTCTTCTCTCTTTCTCTTTATTTTCCCCCCACCCTTCTTACGATTTCTCACTTGCCGTCTTTCTTTTTAACTGGTTATCAGAAAATTGGTAAAGTATGTTGGCATCTTTCCAGGTTATCAAAATAGACGAAAGACTTCTGTTGGACCTTTCATGTTTATCTACTTAACACCTTTTCTTTTCTTTTCCTTCTGTCTTGATTCCTGCGAGTGATTCGCGAGAGGAAACGTCCTCTTTTCGAGCAACGTGACACTCGATTATAAATGGAATGGAATCGGTGGTGAGATTGGCCCAGTCGACGGTTATTGTAATAAAATGGATTGATTGATTAGTAAATGGAAGGATGAACAGTACATAACTATACATATTACTTTTACAGAAAATTACCGTGTTTACCTGGTCAGTTGTTGAAATCATTATCATTGCGATGTTAATAGTAATGGTTAATGGTTAAATGCAATCACTATAAATTGCATCATTGTTTGTCATTGGAAAATGTCAGTCTATATCACATCGTAACAGATGATACTTTTACATCTTTTTTGCCCTCTTTTCCTGCTTCCTTATCTGCTTTTGCCACTATTGCACTGTCTTCGTTTTATGTTCTTGAAATTCACGACGCTAAGCGTGTATATAGTTTAAAGGATATCTGTTTGTATACATGCATATGCAACACGAAACAGCGCCTACTTAAATGTGGTAAAGAACAGCGAGGAAGAGAAAGGAGGAAGGGAGATGAAATACGAAGTGGATATATAGAGCAAGTCACCCAACAGCACTACACCCACCAAATGGAAGAGAGAGGAACACGAAAAGGGAGGCGAGAGACCATGTAGCAAGTACAGTCTTGTATCTAATATTTCAAACGTTCAACCTTTTCCGTTGTGCGTCAATAATCATCGCTTTTTCATTGAGCACGAAATGTTATTTTCGAAATGCTGTATTTTGTGAGAGCTCCACCCTATGATTTTTATTGTTATTGTCATTTTAATAACTGAATCACCATTGCTGTAGACTATTGACAAATTAGAGGAATTGCATACAAATTAAGTTTATTCTTATTCTTCTTATTTGTATTATCATTATTAGCATCACGTATCTTTATTTTTACTATCACTAGTGTTGTTACCATGATTATTATTATCATTATTATCAATGTCATCAATATCATTATTACTATAAGCATTATTATTATTATTGTTATTATCATTACTATTATTATCATTATTACTATTATCTTTATTTTCATCTTTACTATTATCATTTATATTATTATTATTATCATTATTTTCATCATTAGCATTATTTTGTCATTATTATCATTATACAGAAATCAATATTATTATTTTTAATATCGTTATCATCAGTGTCGTCATAATCATTAACAATAGCATTATTAATATGATCATTATTAACCTCAATATCACATAATCATTACTATCATTATTATCAGCCTTACCACAATGATCATCACATCACCATAAATATCATCATTATCAAAATCATCATTTTCACACAAGCATCATCATCACCATCACATAATCATTATTATTGTCATTACTATTATCATTATTGTTATCATCCTCATAAACACTCAAATATTCTAATTATGGCCATGTGTTATCATAGATAAGACATCATCATTATTATCATAATAATTAACATTCATATAGTCTTCGTAGCTCAAAGGTAAGGTATCGTCATCATTATGATTATTAACACTGACATTCAAATATCTTCCTTTGCTAACGTGTTATCAAGGCTCCGTAGCTCAGAGGTACCGTCCCTGCCTCGGAGGCCGACGGCCGTGAGTTCGATCCTCGCGAAGCCAAGCGTGAGAGGTTCACGCGCAGGCGCCGTTGGCATCATTTTCTTTTCTCTTTTCTTTCTTGAATATTCAACTTTTGCCGTGTTTACTCTTGTGGTCTTTGAATAAGGTCGGGGCAGAGATGAGAAACTGTCAAGTTTGTTTGCAATTGCAGGCTATAGTTGTGAGTTTACCCGGTAATTATTACTATTGATTAAAAAAAAAAAAATAATCATGTTTTTTTTCCGTCAGCATCATGTTTACTTATTATTTCCACCATTAAATTTATTCTCAATCATGTTTATTAATATCCCACTAATCATTTAAATATGTGATCAAGCTTCTCAAGGAATGGATGTGATATGTGTCATACAATTTTCTGCATCTTTAAGATTATTCAAAATGATTATCTATTGTTCTTTTTCATGTCAAGGGCATGTGTTCTACAAAATTAATATACTGATGAAATGAATAAAATCAACCACAGACTCTACCGTCCTTCTCCGCCATACCTGCTTTATTCCATTCATAGGCGAGTGCCATGTGGCCCTCCATCCGCCGACCTGACTGACCTATGACCTCGTTTTCTCTCACAAGTGAAGCACTCGCGAATCAACAAAATGAGCAAGGTGTGTTACACTCATGGCCCTCGGGATGATCACAGATGGCCCGCGGGGTGAAAAGAAGACATATTACCCTCTGAAACTATGATCATCATGAGGGAAAGTAATATACGAATAAGAAACTGCAAATTCATGGATAACCTTTTTTTTCATAATGGTAGTTGTTTCTTTTATATTGCAATTGCTAGCATATTGTTCTAATACAGACAAGATGAAAAGAACTATTATAAATGGAAGTCGCAGCCATTTTTAAAAGTACATACATTTACATTTTATTACTGTCACTACTTAAAATATGTAAAATAATCATACTGTTACGCACTAGCTTTCAGTCGTAC